CGAAACCAACATGCGTGCACCTCCAGGTCGAGCCACTCACACGTACGGGGTCCATCAGACCCGTCACTCACACCACACGAACGACAAGGGCTCGAAATACACAGAGGTGAGACGGAACCTCACGCAGCTCACGCAAAAGAGCTTCGAGAAGCCACTGGTATCATCGACGTAGCGAAGCCAAACACAGCACGGCACGAGTAAACTAGGCTTGCGATACTCCAAAAGAAAAACCTGGCACAACGATGTCCCCTTCGAAGAACCTCGCCTCCTCATCACCAAGAACCACAGACACCGCGGCAGCAGAGATAACACCTTCAATCGATAAACCAATGCGCTCGATAACCAATGAGCCGAAGGTAACTAAGTTGAGCACCGTAGCCGCCTGGAGTGCTAGAGCCAGCAGGCCCATAAGCAGACAAAACCAGGTCCGAGACCAGGCAACCTCAAGAGGCAACCGATAACGAAACTTCTTCCCACGCTGGATTTAGATGTCCTTGGGCTGGGCAGTACTCGAATACCTCCTGGCGAAGCGGGCCCATGTAGGCCCCCCCCCGAGATGTCTGGCAGGCCTCGAAGGCCTGATCGATATCTGCACTCACGACCTTGGTGGAAGACATCGGAGAACGACACCGATAACAGCACCCATCAACGTTGCCTTCCAACTCTCTCAGACCATATCTTAAAAGCGGAATTGCATCTTTTACATCGAACATTTCAGGCGTACGCGTAGTATTTTTACAACTACTTGCACTGCTCTCGCAATCGTTCTCCACGCTGATGCAAACAGCATGCCCGACACATTCAAGAGTCTCCGAAAACATGAGTGAGCCTCTTTGCTACACTTTTTCACGCTCTCGTCCGTGAAGCACTTTCGGTTTGACGAACGAAAGCAGGGCTGGCGGCGCTAATGGAAGAGCCCGACTTCGAGGACAGCCTCGAAGCCACTCAGGCAGAGCGGCATGCGCTCTAGCGAAAGCCAAAGGGAGCACCTGCGACGCCGAGAAATCAACCTGAGCTTCCAATTCGGGTCGATAGCGATCGTACGCATGAGATTCGCATATGACTGCTGCAACTCCACCGACCAAGCTTTCGAGCTATCACGATCGCCTGGCACACACGTCGTAGTAGAGGTACAACTCCGTAGAACTTGCCGAAAAACGCCCTTGCTCACGCCAAGCAGGAGGACAGGGAGGCATGAAGAACTCCATCATCTTACCATGCAGGTGTGGATGCATTGCACGGCGTACTCGAGGATGAAGGCGGTGTTGCTGAGCCCAGTTCGCCCAGCCGGTGCGCACGGCGGACCGAACTGACTTGGCCGTCGGCCACACTTCAGCTTCCACGGGCCCGTGTGTGCCTGCAATGACTCCATCTGAGCATACCTGCCAAGAGTCTGCGAGCTGTGCTCCTGGAGGGCGTCAAAGTTGAGGGACCGAAGGCGACGCTTAGAGTCCAGCTTATCGTACCACGACGGGGCACGACCATACACCACCGACAAGTGTCTCTGAAGCCACCGCCGCGGAGAATACGCACGGACAGTCTGTAAAGCTTTCCACACCAAACGCCGCAATAAGCTCACTCGGGATTTGACATATCGATGAAGAACAGTGGAACGAACGGTAAGTGGTGGTAAGCGAAGGCGACGTAGCACTCGTTCTAGAAACCGACGTGCGGCTGCCTTGGGCGCTCGCCCAGCACAGCCGTGTTGATATTGGTCGCGACGTGGTACAAGACAACGCCCGCATCATCTCGGGACCACCTCGGAGAGAAGTCCAATGAAGGCCTATTGCTTGCACAATACGAACACAACATATGCAAATTATCTGGACGAAATATCCACAAAGGGCCTACGAAACCGAACAGCACCGGCTACGTTGTCTGCAGCCAGCGATACAGTATTGCAGAAGACCCATTTCCGTGATGAAATAGGAGATGGGACTCTGGGCTCCAATCGCTTTTGAAGCCCCTGCTCGAAAACTGATGACGCCCATGATGAATGTAGTTGCTGCGCCCGTAGCCGAGGAAGAGGACGATGACGAGGTCGAGCACGCTCAGGTTGTAGGGGTTTCGCCGCAATCGCGGAGGCCCTGCTCTCCGTGTCCACCACCACGATGGGCATCATGAAGAACGAACCGATGTTGTCCCGCAGGGCCGTGTAGCTTACCAGGCGGCCGTCGCGAGACTGCGGCAACAGGAGGCATGTGATGTGCTCTAAGGCACGGGCGGCCAGGCCATGCGTCACGCCCGTGGCGCGCGTCAAGTTAGCCTTGCCGACATAGCAGCCAGTATGGGAACCGATTAGATACAAGGAGACGCCTGCACACTCCGAAGGTAAGACCCACTGCGATATTCACCACGCGGCCGAAGGATCTGAAACCATCTTCTCCTGAAACGCCGTTGGAAAGGCACCACTGTTGACGAGACCAGCGAGGATGACGTGTTGCAGAAAGCGCTCGGCGTAGCCGACACAAACCCGTTGCGGCGAGCATAAGACTGGTGATGACCGCCTTCTCCTCCGAGCGCACGCCGCCTTTGCTCTGAGGCGGCAGCAACACATCTATCGATATCGCCAAGGCCACAAGCAAGCTTGCTAGATCGTCTGCCTGAACTCGCGTGTGGCACTACGCAGCAATGTCGGGCGAGCTCGTCATGACAGGGCTCTTGAGAACCATGGTGAATCTCTCGTGGTCTGGGTGCTCGCTCACGAAGTGAGCGGGGGGCGGCCATTCACGAACTCGACCTGGTAAGACCTCCTGAACTCCTGAAGAACGTGAGCGATCCCTGGGCCGTTGCCAATGGCCAGTTCGCCAGGGACAAGTTGATGATTTGAGGTCGTTTTTTTCATTGCATAACTCCGCCGAACTCCATCAGTGAAATGTCTGGCTCGCGTGAGACCCAGCTTGGTACGGTTGAGCGTCTGTGCCCGCACAAGCTGCCGAGCCGAGGGAGCCACAGAGGTGATGATGATGAGGAGGAGGATGAGGATGAGGATGAGGATGAAGATGAGGATGATGATGCTGCTGATGATGATGCCGATGCTGACGATGACGATGATGATGATGCTGCTGATACTGATGCTGATGATGTTGATGCTCATGCTGATGCTGTTGCTGTTGATGATGCTGATGCTGATGCTGATGCTGATGACGATGTTGATGATGCTTCTGGTGATGCTGACGATGCTGCTGGTGCTGGTGCTGATGATGATGATGATGATGATGATGATGATGATAATGCTGAGGATGCTGATGCTGACGCTGTTGATAATGCTGCCGATGCTGATGCTGATGCTGATGCCGCTGGTGCTGATGCTGATGCTGGTGCTGATGAGGTTGACGACTCTGTTGCTTCTGCTGATGTGGATTATGGTGCTGATGCTGATGATGATGATGAGGATGATGATGATGATGATGATGATGATGATGGTGATGCTTATGCTGATGCTGCTGATGATGATGCTGATGATGATGATGATGCTGTCGGTGATGATGATGCTGATGCTGATGCTGATGCTGATGATGCTGATGCTGGTTCTGATGTTGATGATGACGATGACGATGATGATGACGACGTTGGCGCTGACGCTGATGCTGCTGATGATGTTGATGACGCTGCTGATGCTGATGCTGACGATGTTGATGCCGATGACAATGGGATGATCATTATGATGCTAATGCTGATGCTGATCATGCTGCCGATGATGCTGATGGCGATGATGATGATGATGCTGATTCTGATGATGCTGACGCTGATGATGCAGACGACGATGATGCTGGTGCTGCTCCTGATGATGATGATGCTGATGCCGACTCGAATGATGATGACACTGATGATACTGATGATGAGGATGATGATGATGATGTTGCTAATGATGATGATGATGCTGATGATGATGCTGATGATGAGGATGATGTCGGTGATGATGATGATGATGATGTTGATGATGATGATGATGATGATGATGATGC